AGAAAAAAAGAAAAAAAAGTCCTTTGCAAATTCTATAAAGTTATATATTTTTGTACAAAAAAAAAAAAATTCAAACAAGTCTATATTCTATTTAACGTGTGTGTGTTATATTACAAAAAAAATGTTTGTTTTTTATGAGAAAATATGAGAAAAAATGCAAAAAAAAAAAAAAAATTGTTTCAAATTCCAAAATTCCAAAATCCGAAAATAAAAAAATGTAATTATTCAATAATTTGAATTCAATTATTTCCGTTAATTTTTGAGGAAGTTGTTTTAATCAATTTCCTATATTTTTGTTTTAAACCGGCACCAAAAGTTTGTTTGGTACGATTATTTTTATTTGTTGAACGAGTAATTCCACGAAAATTAACACCGGATGAAGAAGAAGAAGAATAATCAGAATCTACACCTTCACTTTCTTCACTCGACATTCTTAATTCAGTATTTCCAGCTTCAAGTAAGAATTGATTGAAACTACTTGCTTGCATCAATTCATATACTTGATTCCTAACAGGGTCAAGTATTGAAGGATGATAATTATTATATTGAAAAACATTAGTTAATAAATCATCTCTTGTTACTGAAAGAATATTGATTTCTTTTGGTGAATTTGGTAAAATAAATGTAGTAATTATATCAACAAGTTTTTGTTTAAGAAATTCCATATGAGCTGGGGTATCCCCACGTAATGAAGCGTCATCAAAATAATAATCTTCTGGAACTTCTGGTATATCGGTAATGTCTGACATTAAAAGTGATGTGGCGGAATTATTGGAATTGAAATAATTTGATGCATAATATCGATATCTTTTAACTGCTAAATAAAATTCTAAATTTTCCAAACAAAATGTTTGATCCAAGAATGTTGCAAAATCATCTAATGAATATGGATATGATGTTTCATTATTGAGAACATCTGAAAGTGTTGGTTTAGTTTTCGCCAGCGAACGCATATTTATCAATTTATAATGTAAAAATGTAAAAATGTATATATATATGTATGATATCTAACAAAAATTATTAATTTATTATTTTTAATTTTTTAAATTTTCCTTTTTATTTTTTTTTTTTTTTTGTAAAATTCTTTTCACCGTTTAGATTTGGTTTTTTTTCCAAAACCGAAAAATTATCATNTATGGTCTAAAAAAAAAGAACGAAAAAATAATGTCTTAAAAGTTAAAAGATTATTTAATAAAAATAAAATAATAATAAAAAAAAAAAAAAAAAAAAAAAAAAAAAAAAAAAAGAGAAAAAGGAAAGGAAAATTTAAAGTTTTTGTTATTTTCTTTTTTCGAAATCTAGAAAAAATTTATTTGTTTTTTTTCCGAGGGGAGTAAAAGTTAATGAAATTTGAGGAGCATATATATAGTTTTTTTTAAAAAAAATAAGGGGTTAATTTACATCATGATGAACACAAATTATACCAAATAATGTATCACAAAAAGAACAAAGATGGTAAAAATTTATAAAGTTCTAATCATGCAGACAAGGAACAATACAAACAACAAAAATCCTTTTTTCTATTCTCCCTTTTTTCAAAAAGAAACAAAGAAATTTCTCCTTTTACACAAAAAATCTCACCAATTTACAAATTAATGTACTAGTACGATTTTCATATCTATTCTTGGTAAAATCATCGCACATCATATAAAAATATTTTGATATACCTTGATATACCAGGAGAACAAAAATTTTTTTTGGGCCGTTTTTCATTATGGGTAATAAAATGAAAATAAGGATGATGAAAAAAAATAATAAATAATAAAAAAAGAAAGAGTAGAAAGAATAATATGACTAAAAAAATAAAAAATCTTCAAAATTTCAAAAAATAATAAAAGAATAGACAAAGGGATAAAAAATGTAAAAGACAATAATTCTTTCATGTCTCCTTTAGTATGCAAGATGTGCTTTTTTTAATTTTTTAATCTTCAGTGTTAATCTTGAGTGTGTGTTTATCTTCAATGTTGATCATTCTTAAATAATAATTATGGCATGCGTTTAATTAGTCACCTTATTAATTTAACTTTATTTGATACTTATAATAATATATCATTATATTTTTGATGTTCTTTAATTAAGACTTAAGAGTACTATATTCGTACATCTTCGTTGTTTAAAAATGTTTCATCTCCGGTAAATCTTGGATTACTAAGTAATTGTGGCGGTAATAAAAGTGTAAAAGTGTCATTGAAAGTCATCATAATCATCATAATGATTATGATGTGATGTGATTGACGTACCAATGTTTATAAATAATATAAAATTATATATAATTGATATATATAAAAGATATATAATCGATATATATAAATGTATATAATTGATATATATAAATGTATATATAACACATAACAAATATCCGAAGTGGATTTCATATGGATCATATCATATAGGAATCCATATAGATTATTCGGCAAATTTCTGATTAATTTCGGCAAATTTGGATCCGTTTTTGATACAATCTTAATATAACAATATCATCGGTTATATAGATAGTATGTCATCGGTTATAAAAAAACTGTCATATAAGTAAATATCCGATTAAATCCAAATAAATTTATTTAAAGAATTTTACATATTTATTATATTTATTTATTATATTTATACAATTAAACACAATTTATACATAATTTTTTTTTAGAACCAATCATTTCATCCCATTTATTATTAGAAACAATGTAAATCATTTACAAGTTTGATTACAGTGCAAAGTATTTAGTGTATTTAGTGTAATTTAGTGTAATTTAGTGTATTTTGTGTAATTTAATATTTAATTTTATATTTTTTTTTTATCGAAATATATAATAAATTAATGTTGTGATTCCATTGGGGGTAATTGAACACAGTTTCGAAATAAAATATCGTGAAACATTCATTCATTTTTATCATTCAAATAATTATCATTTATAGTATTCACGTGTTCTAAATTGAAACATTTTTAAAAATCTAAAATTAAAAAAATTCTTTTTTTTAAAAAAATTTTTTTAATGTTTCAAAATAACTATTGTGTTCGATGTGTTCGATGTAGATAACTTAAACTTTATTATAACAAGTTTTAATTTTTTTAACCAACCAAATTAAGAAATATTTACATATTTACATTTTACCTTGCATTTTTTATAACATGTGTTCATGCTGCAATTCTAAAAAAGTGTTGATAAAGAGAGAGATTTTTTTTATGTTAATCAAATAATCAGATGGAGAAATTGTTTCATAAAAAAATATAAAAAACTTTTAGTTTTAAACATTCTTTTTTTTTTTATTTTTCGTTTTAATAATAAAAAATTTTGAATTTTTTTTCCTTAATTATCCTAAAAGTTATCTGAAACACAATTTTTTCGCGTTTCTTGAACCGTATTATACGCATTACACGCATTTACTCTAGTTGAATCGATTGGATTTTAATTAAAAAGTATTTTTCAAGTTTAGATTCAAAATTATACAAGTTATACAAGTTATACAAGTTATACAAGTTATACAAATTGATACAAATTGATACAAGTTAATAAGTTAATAAAAGTTTTTAACTCTCAAATTCAGTTTGATTTTATTAAATGAGGTCAATGAGATTGATGTTACTATGATACAATGATACGGTGATACGGTGATACAGTGTTTACAGTGTTACAGTGTTTACAGTTCACGCGGTTCATTTTGGGTTTTTCATGTTACAGTCCTGCTTGACTTTAATGAAACCGTGAATAAGTTGACGAAATCCAATGGCCAGATGGGACTATGGGAGATGAGCATGGGAGATGGAAAATGGATAATGGAAGTGTAATGGATGATATGGTTCTGTTTATGAATTTTTTGATTTGTGTTAAATGCGGTCATGCGATCGTGAGGCGGCTTTGATCCACGTGATATGATGTAATTTTGGCAAGAAAAATGGCGTCAAGCCAAAATGTTGTTACCCGTGACAATCACGTGATATTATACGCGACCGATAAGAAGTTAACACAATTTTTTTAAAAAAATGATCATATTTTAAAAAATAATACAAGGTATGCTAAAAACAACATTGAAATTTTTTTTTTCCCGTAAATTATATACATAGAAATAGAACATTGTGGAAGAATGAAGGGAAGGAATTATTTACGAAATGTTGAATGATGAAACAATATGTAGGAATTAATGGTATGATGGTATGATGGTATGATGGTATAATATGAAAATATAACGCAGGGGGGTGATTTTTTAAAAAAAATCCAACTCTAGGGGAGAAAAAGTACTTGGAAAAGAAAATAATTTTCAAGTTGTTTTTTTTTTTGTTTTGTAACGGAATTTTATAACGGAAGTCCTTTTTTTTTTAAAATAAATAAAAATATCTAAATGTCTATTTCTATTGAATATTATTACTATTTACGCATTATCATCTTCATCATCGTCGTCATCATCGTCTCCTTCTTCGTTATTATTATCATCTTCATTATTATTTCCTCCTTCATCTTCGTCATCCTCTTCATCATCTTCACCTTCTTCATCTTCATTACTCTCTTCTTCTTCATCTTCACCTTCTTCATCTTCATTACTCTCTTCTTCTTCTTCATAACCCTCTTCATCATCATCATCATCTTCATCTTCACTCTCTTTTTGGTCAGGGTTTGAAACATATAAAGTCCCGAATTGGTATGGTATATCATCAACACTGCCTTTGGGTTTTATATTACCACTTACTCTTAATCTATCTTTTTTATTTACAGGTTCACTATCATCATCAAATGTATCAAAAGGAGATATATTTGAACCTTCACTTTCAGGAGAATATTGAAACATTTCTGGTTGATCACTAAATGTTACTTTCCCAACACCTGAAAATCTGGTAAAAGGTCCAATATTTCCAATACCTCCAGCACCTCCAACACCTGAAGCAAATGAATGTCTATTAAATGTTCCAGAACCTGAATTATTTGAATATCTATTATTATTCATTGTCATTGTATGAGGTGTTGATGGACCTGTTGACGGTGACGTTGGTATTGAATAATTATTAACTAATCCTTGAGCAGATTGAGTGGATTGAGTGGAATAATGTTTATCTCTCTTGTTACTTCTACCCAAGCAGAGAAAAGCTGGACGGGGTCTAGTAGGTTGTTGTGGTTCAGCTGATTGTATAGGATTTGATTCATATGGATGACCTACTAAATGAATTCCAGCCCTTATTTTATAATCATCAATAAGTTTATAAATAACATACCATATTATTATAATAAATAATATACCACAAACAACTGCTAAAACTATTATTACTATTAAATAAATCCTTGTAGTATCAGCATTATTGGCGTTATTCTTACGATTAATATTAGGATTAGTTATATTTTTCATTGTAGTAAAAGAATCATCTGAAGGTAATTCCATAGGAACATATTGAGTATCCCAAGACCAATTAATTATATTTAAAATATAAATACTTGAATCAATTGTAGAAGAATCAGTACTACCAAATGCGACTATCATATTAGCACCTACAAGAGTTGCAGTATGACCACTTCTATTTGGAGGGGAATTTGTTGTTTCCTGTTTTGACCAAGTCCAAGTATTTGTATCTAATATAGCTACATCACCATATAATTCTGATCTTGATACATCGGTACCTCCATAAATTATAATTTTTTCATTTGCAACAACGGAAGAAAATTCCCTTCTTGGTAAAGGTACATCACCAGTAGCAGTATTAACTTCCCAAACATTATTTAATAAATTAAATACATAAATTACATTCATTCCTAAAGGAGTATTACTGACAACACCACCTAATATATACATTTTATTTTCTATAATTGAAGCAGTGTGACTTCTTCTTAATCCAGGAGAATTACTTATAGAAGGAAACCCATTCCAAGTATTTAAATTAATAGTATTTAATTCCCATAATTCCGAGGTCATTAAAGCTTTTGGGCTACCAGTCCATTGATCGACATAACCACCATAAATTAACATTTTTCCTGAAGGGCTAGTTACAGCGGAATGATCATATCTTCTATTTGGACCATTTGGTAATTTTAGATTTGTGAATTCATCATTAACAGTATCATAAACGTATAAACTACTAGTAAGAGCAGTTACAGGATCATCCACACTACCACCAAATATTATTATTTGATCATTATTTGGACCACCTTTTACCGCCGTATGACCTAATGCTTTTGGTACTCCTACGGTATCAAATGAGAACCATTCAGGTTGTAAACTTGTAAATGATTTTGATACATCTAAACTTAGGAACTCTGTTGCCAGAACATTTCCTAACGTTCTACCTCCAATAAAATATATTCTTGTACCTACTAAAGTAGCAGTATGTCCCCACCTAGGTGATATATTTGTTGTTAAGATTGGAGCTCCTAATATTAAATTTAAAAAATTTAATAAGAAGAATATAAAGTATATTATTATTTTTATCACAATCATTTTTATATGACCGTTTTTGTGATAGTCGAAAAAAAAAAAAAAATATTTTTTTTTTGTAGGAGGAGGGGGAAAAAAAATTATTTTTTCGTATGAGTTTTGTTTGATAAAAAAAATAATAATAATAATAAATAAAAAAACGAAAAAAAAGTCGTTTCCGTCAACCGTCACCCCTGCGTTGGTGAAATGTTGGGGGGGATAAAAAAAGGAATGTATTAAAGTCTTTTAAAGACCTAAAAATGAAAAGAAAAAAAAAAAAAGGACGAGAAAAGTAGGATAAAAAAAAAAAAGGTAGGTTACTTGAAAGTGATAACTATATTTATATATGCATAATAATATATATTAATTCGAATATTAATGGTGTTAAATTGATTATTAAGTATTTGCTTTTTTGTTTTGAATTCTGTGTAATAAACAATGTAACAAATAATAATTTCCCAAATAATTAATTCCTTTCCTAAATTCCTTCTTTAAAATATATAATAAGTAATTCTAAATAGAAAAAAAGTAAAGGAGAAAAAAAAAATAAAATAATGAACAAAGGTAAAAACACAAAAAAAAAATAAAAATAAAAAATAAAAAAATAAAATAAAATAAAAAAACAAAAAAAAAAAAAAAAAATATTTTTTTTCTTTAAAGAAATCTTAACTTTTTTCGAATATTTCATTTAGATTCACTTAAAGAATGAATTTTTTTTTTTTTTATATATATATAATATAAATAATTGATCATTTTTTTATCTTCCTTTTTAGTTTTATTATTTTTTTTTGTACTTTTTGGAAGATAACTACATTAATTTCCTTAAACAATGTGTTGCGATGATCCATCAAAATTAATCATAAATACTTTTATAGTAATTTTTAATTAATGTTCCTTCACTTCAAACATCGATCTTATTAAATAAATCCGTTTTATATTTAATTGGTATCTCACATTGTACATTGTGTTGTCGTTGGTGTTTAACTGAGTTGTATTTGTTTATTTAATTAATCACTACCCGTGACGTTTTTATTAAACTTCCACGTGGATTATAATAAAATTTTTTTATTTTAGAAAAAAAGTAACCATATGGAAAGTAGACTTATATAAACAACAATATATGCAAAAAAATTCTAGGTTTTTTAAATATTATGATGACATATCACTTTAACTTACATTTGGAAGTTTGGGACTAACGGTTTTTAAATAAAAAAGCAATTATAATTTTTCCAGAGTTTTTTATTAAGGTTTTGAATTCTAAAAGGATTGAATTTTTGGTTGAAGAATATATTTTTGGTAATTTAGGGCAATTTTCTTGGCGGTGACGTATTTTGATGTGTGGTTATATAATAATAAATAATAATAATAATAATAAACTTGTAATTATTCTTTAGATGGAAGATTCGAAAAGAGAAAGAAAAAAAAAAAAAAAAATTTTTTTATCTCTCTTTTTTAATTACCTTTATTATTTTTAAATTACATGCGATAACATGCAATAATACTTTAATTTATAAATTAAAAGGAAAAAATTTTATTTTAAAAAAAGGTTTCTCTGTTATATTTATAATGTTTTTTTTAGGAAAAAAAAAAATTATTGTAATTGATATATATATAATGTAAATATATATTTATTTGTTGTTTTATTTTGTGTTCGAATATTTTTTTTTTTTTTAACGCCAAAGGAAACATATATATCATAAATATTATTTTTTTTTTTTTCTTAATTTACAATTTGCCGAAATTATTCGAAANTTTTTTTTTTCGAAACAATTCATGAAACAAATTATTAAAAAATAAAAATCTTTTTTTGGTTATAAAAAATATAATTTTTTTCCAAATGGGATGCGGCGCAGTTACGATCGATTATTTTGAGTAACATGTATTAATCTTGCATGTATTTTATTGGAAGTAGATGGAAAAGAGATTTGGGGAGAAAAAGAATACTATTAGATGAAATGATAAAAAAAAATAATTAATTATTTTTAAGCAATGCAATCAATTTAAAAAAAATTGGATATTTGGGATCCCATTTTAATTATGGTTTAATGTGGTGTAAATCATCAAATACGCATTATAATAGATGACATAAACGGGACTATTTAACCGATTAATCCTTAATTGATCAACCATGTTCAAACAACATCCCCCCTGACGGCTGATGCACGCCCACATGAATCATTATCTCTATAAAATTTATTTTTAAAAACTATTAATAAAATAACGGACCCGACGGAACAAAATATGGACGAATTTATATTTATTTTGTAGACGACATTGTGCAACGTGTTTTTTAACATGTGTATTATACAGTATCTGGTATATTTTTACATAATTACTACTAGATCTATAAATACTACGATCTATTACTATCGAATTTTATGATCTTTATTTTTCTTCATTACGTTCTCTAGTTTCTTACATGAGAGTTTGGTAGTTGGTACTAATCAGTAGCTTACCAGCTACAACTACAGCTACTAATTTAGTTCTAATAACTTTTCCAACTGATTCAGAGTCGCTTTCCTTTAACGCTAGGAGTTCGGCAAATAATATTTTAATATATTGAGATTTTATAAATGTTCCTGAGATTATAAATAGTCATCTTCTTCAAATGGTTCAACATACTTTTTTTTTTAATACATCATTATGTATGTATATTGTATGTTACAATTGACGCCAAGCGCAGTGTAATATGTCTAAATAATAGGGCTATGTAAGATATTAAAGCTGGATTCACATTCATATTACTCAACGTTTTCATATATACTGTATCAAATTTTTTTTCAATTTTCTCAAAAAATAAAAATAAAAAAATCACAAAATGGAAACGTCTAGAAAAGACTTCTTTTTTTATGTCATAATAAACAATATTAACTAATAGCGCTAACAAGGATACTTTTAGTAATAATGGTACGATAACAATGAATTTAATGTAATCCTTTATATAATTGGTAGAACAAAATTTCTTTTTCAATTTTTTTTTCTTATTTACTGAAATTTTACATTAAAATCTTTGATATGTAGGAATCTTCATAATAATATTTTATTTTATATTTTTCGGTTTCACTTTTTAAAAAATTGTTATATAATTTATGTCAAAATCAGATTTTTATAGAACGGAATTTACGGAATTGCATTATTCGAAATTTCTAAAATCGAAAATCCTGATAATTCACATCACCCATGGATCCCGAAAATTCATAATCCCGAAAATTTTACAATCTCAAATATTCACAATCCTCAAAATCCACAATCCCGAAAATTTTAATATTCCCGAAATCCATTATCTGACAGCTCATTATCCCGATATTATGTTTCAGCCAAATAGGATCTTAATATATTTTTTAGATAAATTATTATTGCATAAATATCTTTGATATTTTTGACGCATTACGTCATTTAGATTTTTATAAATACATAAATAAGATACATTATTATTTTTTATATTTTTATAGGGAACATAATCTTGGACGTCTGCATAATAACACAGTTATTGGGTATAGTGGTTAAAATATCATCCGAACTGCTTCGCAGTTCGGTGATATGTCAACCACCATATCCAATAACTATTAATTATTAATTTTAGTTAGTAATTGAAAAATGGAATTAAAACAATTTTTAATGATCATATTAGATTATCTTTGTCGGTGGAATTGCACCCAAATTTACGACGTTGTAAGAGTATTAATAAAATAAATAATACGTAATTTAATGTTTGAAAAATTTTATTAATTGTGATTCATTTCGTTCAACCTAAAATCTATTCACCTAATGCTTTACTTATTTGCAATATGTAATAAATGAGTCACTTTGCATTAATCAGAATGTTGGGACAATCGGAATTCGGGATAATAAAATCTCGGGATTGTGAATTACCAGGCTTGTGCCTTGTTGGAACTTTGATTTTCGGAATTTCGGAGTAAACCTGCGATATCTCAATTATCAATGTGAATAAGCGAGTTATAGACTCATGCTGAAAATTCGTTGTGTGAAGATGAGGTACCTACGAGATAATTAGCAAAGTGATAACAAATATGCAATACTTCATAAATCGATTTGAAATTACGGAAAATTCAACGTAACTAAATATTTCATTTTATACTGTATTATGGTTAAAGTCGTACAGTATTATTATTTATTATCCGATATTGCATAATTGTTAAAAACACTGATGATGAAAATTTTAACGCAATAAACCCTGTAACTGTCACTACAACCTCATCTTAGCATACGACATATAAATATGACAAAGAAGTTGTCACATACAATTACTTTATATGCGTTACTCAAATATCTGTATATCTCTATTTGTATATCTTTGGTTGTTTCCAAACCAATAGTTTCTCGGTAATGATCTTTTGATGTAATGTAACTTAAAATTACATCATACCTTCATTTCTACTATTTTTACATGCTTTAATGTCAAATTTTGGTAATTGGAGTTTCGAGTTTTATTTTTAAATCAGCCTCAGGACGCAATCAGTTTATGCTCTACCAAATTTTAATCTCTTTCTTTTTTTTTTTTGTGTGTGTAATCTCCTAAATATTAGGCTTTAATAAAGAAAAAAATATTATATATACAGTATATATAGTATATATATATATTATTCTCCCTTAGCGAATCATCGTTTCTCAATGTGGGCATGTAAGGTCATATATTAAGGCAGATTCCTTTCTCAAACATGAAAAGAAATGCATAAATAGCAAATAAATGTAAACCATTCATAATATTTGTTTTTTTTGGTCCAGGCTTCGTCGAGAAAACCATCCAATAGTAATAAATGATTATTACGATTATTTGCATGAATTAGAAACAGAGTATTAAATGTCATTTAAAAAAATCACACTACGAATGCTAATAGTGTGCTAGTACTTATTATAACTAGCTCATGAGTAAGTACAACTTTTCATTTAATTGTAAATTCCCTTAACTGTTAAAATTTTTTTCTAACATATTTTACGTCACATGTGTAAAAATTGAACCAATGATTCTATACGTATTGCGCAATGTTTGTCATATGCTTTGTCAATCTTGTTATTAATTTCTAATACGTCTAATATAGTAAATTTTAATAACACATTTCTTCTTTTTCTTTTTTTTTTTTTTACATTTATATATATATAAATTTGATGCAGACTTTTTCTGAACTTTCATTCCTAAAAATTAATTCATGAATAATTTGATAATGAATAGAAACATTCTTTTATTAATTTTAGTCATACTTTTCTTGGCATCGACTATTACAGCCGATGTATACCGCAAACTTCATAAACGTCATAAACTTACTAAAATTATTCCTACTCCCCGCCCTAGTTACTATCAAATTAATAATGAAAAGAAGCATCAAAAAAGATATGGTCATAAACGTTACGAAAATGTTGTTCCTTGTACACCTACAACTGCAATGTGTTTTACGTTAACGCCAACACCTCTTGTCTGCACACCTTCAGGTGGTAGTTGTGAAATGGCAAATCCAGAAGCGTGCTGTTCTAAGGGGTGTGCACGACAAACTGATGGCACTTTTGCCTGCTGTGAAAGAACTGGAGATGTTTTTAACTGTAATATAAAATAAATATCTTATCATACCTATCATATCTTCATGGCTTCATTCCAGTTGGCCTTGCCTTTTGGACTAATGAACTAATGAATAATTGAACAATATAGACAACTATTGAATTATTAGATTATTAGATTATTGGATTATTGGACTTCGTTTCAAATATAATTATTTTAAATTTTTTAAAAGTATTAAAAAAACTTTAATTATTATAATAATATTAAATTATTGGATGTATAAATATTATTTTTTAAAAGATATTGGATTATAAAAAACTCAATTGAACTTGAAGTTTAATTCCAATTCAATTCATTAATACGAATTTTGAGATCTTATTCTTTCATAAACTATTGAAATATATATCATTATTATTATTATTAGGCTTAGTTTATTTTTAAAGTGGTTTATTGGGTTTTATATTCTTAACTACTAATTAGATTAATAAATTCATTTAACTATTTCAATCTGGAATGACTTTATATGCTGTTATTATGATCCAACAACTTTTTGAAACGATCGTCATTATATATCGTCTAAAGGTAGAGGCGAGAACCTTAGAAAAAGAAAAAATATATATTTTTTTGATTCTTTGGTTTATTTTCTTTTTACATAGTTTCACACTCATTCACTATCCGTCATTTCTCATTATGATCAGTAATGATTTGGATCAACGCGATGTATATAATATTCTTTTTGTAAATAAAATTTATAATTTACTAAGCAATAATTCTTAAAGTGATATGTATGTACAGTATATATATGTGTTATGAGAAGAAATTAACAAACCTTATCTTTTATTTATTAGTTACTTTTTATAAAAGTACATGTTACGAGGAGACGAGGTTTTGGTTCTACCGTACCGCCGCACTGCTTAAAATACCCTCCTTTGAGAATACCCCACCCGGATACAATATACGATTTAAAAATGTTTAATTCTGATAGAATTAAACTAATTTTGGCCATGTATCTCATGGGTATTATATAATTTTTAAATCATCTTGTGCAGTGCGGTACGGTAATACGTACATGTTTTAATCTAATTATCTAATACGTTTAATTGACGAGCTAATAACCAAAGTTTTACAAGGTAAGATCGTTAAAATTAAGTGAAATTATTAAAAATGACATTAAATATATTGTACCCTTTTAAACCTTATCGTTATTAAAAGAGGAGAAGAAAGGACGAACAAGCAAAGAATTTTTTTTTTAAAAAAAAAATAAATAAATAAATCTTTCTTTAGGTTATACTTTCAGAACAGAACGATAATTGATAATTCAAGTAATGAACTAAAGTTCAAGAATAAATATCAATTAATGGAATTAATGCGTGCAATAAAATTTTTCGCAAGAATAACATGTTGAATAAGATGTTATAATAAGGATTATTCCATTTAAAGATTTAATGTCAAAGATTGCAAATCATGACTAACTCTAAATATTAAAATATTTCTTCTAACAAGGCTTTAATTAACTAAATCAAGGCTATTAGAATTCCGATCAAATATTCATTGCACGATGCGCATAAAAAAATCACATGTAAAAATTTGCAAATGCAAAAATGCGGAAAGATGATATCACAACACTTGCATCTGAGACCGAGGAGCTGGAGCTAAAAGTGCAACAGACGTTGAATCCGAAGAGGAACGCAAGTATCTATATTATCCCAAATTAAGATTATATGCTCATCAACGGAGGCACAATAGTTCCAATTACAAGTCGCAACCCATAACAATTGATGCTCAGCTTTCAATTCAAAAATATAAAGCTATTTGCTTTATAGTTTTTCTATCTCCTTCAGGGTCCAATACTTTTGTTGAACCAAAATGTTTATCGATTTTATTAAGCTCGCATATATATGCGTTACTCAAATACTGCATTTTCCCTTTTCAACCGCATAGTACTACTACTTTTGATTCAATTGGACGGATAGGCATTTTAACCTCCCTTCGAAAAATACGTCATATATACTGTATATTATGGTACATTTCACTTTATTCAGCCTTATATTTAGAATGGTGTTCAAAACAATAAAATATGAATCAATAGTTTCAAGAAAAAATAAGTCAGTACTTCATTTTTTTATATAATTATATAAATCAGATGAAAAAATCTCTGATTTCTTTAGTTTAATTCACAATCTCATTATGAAGGTAATGATTTGGATACACGATGTAATATATCTCTCGGAACGCTTTCGTTATTTACAATAATCTTTGTTTAATTTGCTTTAATATATTAACGTATATAGTTATATATGTATATATATAATACTGGATAAAAATATCTATTAATAAAACCTTGATCTACTGAACAATAAAGACAATTTTTTTTTCAATAATATAAAAACCAATTAAATTAAATATTGTATAACATAATAGGGATTATTCCATTAAATAAGTATTATAATTATAATACTAATTAAATAAATTTCTTTATTTATTAATCAGCAAAAAAAACAAAAAAATTCTTTATGTTCCTTGTATTCGATATTAATTGTACTGTACATGTGTACGGTACACGCATGCATTGAACCAATGATCTTTTTCTATATTGAGTAAAATTTTTTTGTTTAGTTTGCTTTGTTTAAATTTGTCATAAAATAACATATGATTAATGAGTTTAATTTTTCCTATATATAAAATCGATACAATTTTTTTTTGGACTCATTTCCTTAAAATTAAATTTTTATAATAATGTATAGACAAACTCTTGTATTATTCTTAATCACTCTTTTCTTAGCATCAACTATAACTGTTGATGCTCGCAAACCCTGCACTATTACTAAAACTAGCTCTGATACAATAACTATCAGTACAACCTGCTCATCCACTCCCACACCTCAACAAATTCATCAAGGAAAGAAGAAACATCAAAAAAGACAAGAACAAGATTGTAATTTTAAACGCAACAAAAAAATTGTTACCATTACACCTACAACCACCGTATGCACTACTTCAACTCCTGTTTGTACACTTCCTGGTGGAACATGCGATATTAAGAATCCGGAAGCATGTTGTTCTCAGAAATGTTCTATTCAAAACGATGGCTCGTTTGCTTGCTGCGCTAAAATCGGTAATAAATTTGAATGTGATACGAAGTTGAAAGATATCTTATTTATACATAATTAATTGTTTCTTCAAATAAAACTTTTTTTTGATAAACTCTTATAATATCATTTTAATCACCAGACTTTAAAAAAATTTTTTAATTAATTAGAGTAATTAGAATAATTGGAATTCGAGCTTTCTCTTTTAATTGATAGATGTATATTTTATTTCATGTGTATTTATCAGAATATTATATATTTTTAAGCGATTCTTTTTGGGATTGTAGAATTGTAAAATCTTAACCATTTTCATATAAAATATTAAACCTTTTTTTAATCGACGAAATTTCTTAATTCTCTTAATAGAATTCTGTCTATAAATAATTTATTGGAAGACTCTCATTTATTATATCTTGAGTTCTTTACTTTTTGTAAAGCTTTTGAGTTTTTGTATTACAGTATTTATTCCGCCTAATATAGGGATGGTAAAGTCCTAGGTCCTGGACTAAAGACTTGGTCCTAGGACCTGGTCTGCAGATCTTTAGGTCCAAATTTTGGACCAGAAGCGGACCAGGTCCTAAAAAGTCCTAGCCAATAAGGTTATAAGAGATCTATATGTTTAAATTATATATGTATAATTTGCTGTAAATTTGATTTTAAGTAATTATAAATTATAAAAAAGTGCATTGCAATATTGCAATACAATTTTTATATTATTAAAATCATATAAAAAATGAGTTGCGATATTGCGATCCACATTTTTATATTAAATCATATAAAAAGGTGAATCGCGATACCGCAACTCACTTTTTTTATATAAAATCAATATAAAAAAGTGAATCGCGATACCGCAACTCACTTTTTTTTATATAAAATCAATATAAAAAAGTGAATCCCAATATCGCAACTCTCTTTTTTTATATTTAGTTATTACTAAATTCATAAAATCTATAAATAACTTAATCAGGACCAGGACCAGGGACCAGGTCCAGGACTGGTCCTAACAGGACCTGGTCCGCACTCCGCAGGTCCGTTCAATAGGACTTATAGGTCCCAGGACCAGGACCGGACCAGGACCGACCTAACCATCCCTAGCCTAATAGCATTATAAATATATAACACTTTATTTTATATATAAAAAAGAAATATCCATATTAGGTTTATTTCTACAATGTATTAGTAGGCGAATGTCATTTGCTTACCAAATGTAAAAGAAAAGAATAGCTCAGGTTAGCAGTAAGGAAATAAAGATCTGAGGCCCGGGTAAAGTTTTGTTTTTTACACAAATTACACAAAAAAACACGATCAGATCTATCTTAAAAAAATAAATTAATTATCAGGAAATTTAATATGATCACTATTAAAGTAGCTAAATGATAAAGCTGAAATCAGATAATTGACTGATTTATTATTCTAATAGGATGTCAAAAAAAAAAAAAGTTTAACATTACAGCTGATTTCATAATGTATGGGACACTTAGCAAATTTAAAGAACTCGGAAATATTCGGTAAAGCTTTATATAAAATAAAAATTATACGCTAATTTTGGAGTACTATTCCGAGAATAGACATTATTAAAAATTTAATAAATTCCAAATACGGCCAATCGTATTATGTATTAAGCCCTTGTTAATTTCCATCCATTGAATGGCAATAAGAATTTTTATTATTTATACTACATTTAATTTTATATTTATATAAATTAGGCCGCTCCAAGCCAATTCTTTGTTTAGCATAACATAGGGGGTCCCGGGGGGGGACAAAAAATAATACATAAAATAAAATACATGGCCAGAATTACCATTAATTTTGGCCAAAATTTTGACCAAAAGAGCGAGCAAAAATTTTGGATGATAATTCCGGCCAAGACTTAAAGATTTATCTAATTCCGGCCTAAATTACATGTATTTTTTTTACATAAATTCTCAATTTTTCAGAAACGGACTCAAGATAGATATTGTAGTACAAATAATGTATAATACGTTACAGCATTAGATGCAGGGGTATTACACAGTCAGACAAGTGCTGCATATTGTGACGGAAAATGATTTCTCGTTTTTTCGATATTTTCTCGTTGAACAACATTTCTTTCGTCATTTCTATTGAGTTGGACCATCTGTTATAATTTACCTTCTACAATTCAAAAAAAAAACCGAGAAAATTCTATACCTAGCCAATAGTTTATTGTTTAAATATAATTGTGGAAATATTACTTATATGTCACTTTAACCCGGAGTTTGCACAAAAAAGTTAAAAAATATATACGCTTTTTATTACTAAATAATCCCGGCCCTTTATTGTATTATTGCAAAGGTACAGTTTTTTTTTAAAACGAAAATATTATTTAACACCGAAATAAGTAAAAAAATATGTAAACTAACTCCGTCATTTGGTTACCAGAAACTCAAAAATTTATCAGTTGATAAAATTTAAACAGAACTGGGAAAACAGAACCAAGATTAAGATCAAGCCGATATTTATATCAAAATGGTTTTTTTTTTACCCCTAAAAAAAATTTACCATGTAAAAATATTCTGCTTTGTTAAAATTACCAAATTCGGAATCCATCTGCGCATCAATAATGCATATTGGTGTAATGGGCGTAGTATTATACGATTGAGTTGAATAAATTATTGAAGTTCAAAACAATTATCCGCTATGGCTCTCAAGATCTTATTCATATCAAGAATATCGGCTCCGAAGGTGTTTATGCCGCGAATTGGAAGAATACGTCAACAATATATGTAATTAAAAAATTTGTCGATAATAAAGAGGTTCGTCACCGATAAAGTTATTTATTATAACTTACATATTATTTACAGACTATTTTCCTTCTAGGTTTATTTAACGAGAATGGCTGATGGTCATCAAAATATTATTCGATTATACGGAGTTACAACATTAGACGGTAAAACAAACAATTATGAAAATTTATGATAATTTTTCATTTCATTGACATATTTTTTATTTAGGTAAAGAAAAATATTCGCTTGTTCTCGAGTATGCGGAAGGTGGGACATTAAGAAATTATTTAAGGAACAATACTGTACCTTTTAATTGGGAGAACCAATTAAGATTTGCTAAAGAGATTGCAAGTGCGATTTTATGGTTACACGATGTTAAAGAAATCATACATGGTGATCTTGTAAGTGCATTCCCTATTGCTTTAAATTACCTATTGGTTTAAATTATATAGCGGAACTTGTCCACTGATTAACATATCTTTTTAGCACCCCAACAATATCTTAATACACAAAGATTCAATAAAATTAGCAGATTTTGGGTGTTCATGTCTAAAAGAATCAGATGATAACCCTGGAGCACATGGCGTAATACCTTATATGGACCCTAAATTTTTTGAGAATAATGAGAATAATTCATATCGTATAACAGAAAAATCCGATATATACAGCTTGGGCGTATTATTTTGGGAGTTAACAAGTCGAAAATCACCTTTTAGATATAAGTCGGGAGTCGATCACGCTCTTAGGTTACATATCCTTAATGGTTTAAGAGAAAAACCTATACAAGACACGAATGCTATATTTGTTGAATTATATCAAAGTAAGTATAAAATAGAGTATAATACTTTTACGTAATATTTTTTCACAATCTATTTTTACGTTATTTTATTAGAATGTTGGAAACACGAACCAGATAATAGACCGAATATTCACCAAGTAATTTCAGAACTTAATTCTATTGGTCCTGAAAACAATAATATATCAACTACTTTTACTCCCGAAGAAAGCGAAGAAAGCGAAGAAAGTGGAAAAACAGAGAATTTATACTTGTCAGATAGTGATTAAATATGCTTTATCACGATTTTAGATTATTTCTATGTTACATTTGTTTTTCGTAATTATAACATTTTCAATAATTCTATCCGAGTAGAATAACTATTTGTTTTTTAATTTTTACACGAACATTTTATATAGAGTAAAATAAAAAGCTATGTACGTAATACGTAAAAAAAAATTACACACGTCAAGTGATAATATTTATGACTGTCATTGTGCAACGTCCAATAAATCAATGACTGGTCACGTGCCATTTGGGTCATTATTATTTATTTTATGGCTGACTGCATTGAAAATCATAGATCGAAGAGTGAGGTCCCGTAGGGGATGACAAACAACGATCTATACACATATATTAGTTTTAAGTCTTTTCGAACTCTTTCTTCTTATATTTGTAATAGTCTGGGTTCACCACTCTTTTAGTAATAAAATAAATTGAAAATCATAGGATAACAAAGTAAAAATTGATGTACAATATAGAACTTCACCTAGACTTATAAAGACAGGTCCTAACTAGTATTAAAAAAGGGAGCTGATTAGAGAAAAACCGACCCTAAACACCAACAGCACCCAGAAAATTCTTCGATCACGTGATCTGTTTTATTTATCACATTGTCACACCCCTGTCCGAGTTTCACTGTTTATATTTAGAACATCCTTAGTATCCTAGACCACCAGTTCAAGGTTTCTTATTCTAGACCCCCGGGTATTTGTATATCATAATTCCGGCCAAAAATTAACATAATTTTGACCAGAATTATACTTACAACTTTATTGTATTATAGCTCCACCAATATTAATCGTAGAGAGATGATCTTATTACCATTTGATTCGTCTTGATGAGACGATTCTAATGGTATAAAATACATTGAAATCCAATCACTCAATTAATTTCTGAAATTAAAAAAATATTAATGGTTTATGTGTAATAATTCTGCCAATATTGATTCTAGAAAGACGATCTTACTACCATTCAATTCACTGAGATCCCCTGATTCCCTCTTTCATCAATATAAAGAGTTGCTATATCAAATCGGCATTCTCATGGATGATCAAATGAATAAATAAACGAACAAACAATTATGAACAACAAACAATATAATAATTAAACAACATTCTTGGTTTACATAAATAAATCACGTTAGTAATACAAAACATCAAACAATATAAAATAAATTCAACTTCTCTAAATTTTCCTCATGATTTATTTACTTTAACTTCAATTTCAAACTTCGATAGCTCTCACTACAAAGTATTCTATTTATTTCAACTTCAAAACTTCAATAATTCTTCTTATGAAAATGTATATTTAATTCATCTTATAATTATCATTTTTATTCAATTAAATTTAATTAAGCGAACATTAATTAAAGTTTAAGGCGAACCTATTACCTTTTATTAATATTATACTTTATTAACAAATAATTAAATTGAGTTACTCTAAACTGAGAAATTCCTATTGAATTTCATAGATACCTACATCCATCTGATTACATTTCTATCAGAAATCCACCATCATCATCTATGCCAGTTTATTTATAAGCTGTTTTTAGATCTTTATTATGATGATTTTGGTACATTTAGAAATGTATACCATTCTCTAGGTGGTGTTTATGTACAGTTTGGAAATATGCCAGCACATCAAAGAAAGCTAATAAAGAACCATTTTGTTATTGGGTTTATCCCATTTGAAGGAAAATTTGACAAATTTATGATACCATTTATTTCAGAAATAAAGGAATTAGAGAAAGGAAAGGTGATGACTGTCCAAGGACAAGATGCATAGATAATTGCTAGTTTAGGTATTGTTACGGCAGATTTACCTCAAGGTAACGATATGACAGGAGTACTAAGGTATTTTTTCAACTTAGATAATAATATAATAATATAATTTTATGACAACTATTAAAATTTTTTAAAAAATAAATTTAGACATAATGCAAATAAAGGTTGTCATACTTGTAAAATTACTAAAGAATCATTGAGTGCTCACAATCAGAATATCGTAACAATATTACATTATCATCATATTACAGATGAAGAAATTTTAAAAATTTCTCATGAGATTATAATGCCAAGAAGAAATCAACTTTGTATAGAATATGGTTTACAATCATTACCTAGTATTTTAGATAAATTAAAAAGGGAAAGACATTTACAGACGCTGCAGGATGTTTATCATGTGACTGCAGGCAAGATTGGACGGCTACTAAAATTAACTTATGAATTATTTTCATGAGAAGGAGAAGATAATTTTATCAAAATTTGGAAAAATTTTGAAATCCCAAAAAGGTGGTACCGCTTACCAAATCCGATTACTCACTACAATAGTTTTATGATGTCTGATTTACTTAGATTAGCTATGATTATGCCATTTTTATTAAACCAGTTTTTAAAAGAATCAAGTATCAAACGTAATGAAACAGCCATGATTCAACAAAGAATTGATGCATTTCAAGTTAAATCAGTTCCAAAAATTATTATATTTTGTTGGATATATGTTGCAAAAACTATGAAAGCAGTTTTTAACAAGAAATTTACATCAGATAGCTATAAGGAATTGCAACAATGTCTTGAAGAAGAATTTTCAATCCTTTTAAAGGTATAGTTACAAATTTGATATTGAAATGTGAAATAATTTCAAATAATTAACAATATTTTACTTTTTATAGGTTTTTGTAAATTTTGTTAATTTACCAAACATACATGTTAATATGCATCTTTTGATGCATGCTAAAACCTTTGGAACACTTATTAATACCCAAGTTGGTATAAAAGAAATGGTCCATCGTATTTTTAAGGGGATGGTACCAAAAACTAATTGCAAAAACATAGATTTGGATTTATTAAAGCGTTACAATACTTTATTTGCAATTCGACATTTAGCAGATGGTGGTATTGATACAAGATTTAATAGATCTTGTACTGGATTTACAAATTCAAATTTTGGACAATTATTTTTAAATTAGTATGTTTTTGGTTTTTTCACACAGAAGCTCGCCTGAACTTAAAAAAAGAAAGAACGGTTATTAGTAACCGTTTATTAATATTAAAAAAAAAAATTAAAAAATTAAACCTTAGTTTTTCCATTCTTCAGAACATAGAAGCTCACCTGAATCTAAAAAAAAGAAAGAATGGTTATTAGTAACTGTTCGTAATATTAAAAAAAAAGAAAACAAATTAAACCAAGATTCATACTTATTTACGAATTTTAGTTTTTCTATACGGAAGCTCATTGAACCTAAAAAATAAAGAAAAGAACGGTTATTAGTAACCATTCGTAATAAAAAAACAAAAAAAATTTATAAAGATTTATACTTATGAATTTTTATCTTTGGGTTTTCATTTTTCGGAAGCCCACCTGAATCTAAAAAATAAAGAAAAAAAATGGTTATTAGTAACCATTAATAATATTAAAAAAAAAATAAAACCAAGATTCATATTACTTACTACTTATGAATCTTAGTTTTTCTCCTTTCTCCTTTCCTTTTCCTGTTTTTACCTTAAAGTAGAACCCCGCCTACTACTAAGATATGTTACTAGTAGAAATTTCACTTTCATATGAAACCTTACCTTAGGATTTGCTTAAATTCTATTGGTTAATTGACCAAAAAGGAAAAAATCATAACAATGTAACATAAAATTTTCTTTTATAATAAGATCTTCAAAGAGTTTTATATGTAAACTTTACCTTAGGCTACAGGGTGACCTATCTTAATAGTAGGTAGAGTCTTCTTAAAGTCCAGTTTTGTGAACAAGCCAGCGTCCTCTTACACGTTCTATTAAAAAAATAACGAAAAAAAACATTAGTTCATTTCTTAATTAAAATTAAAAAGATAAATTAAAAAAAAAATCAAAAAAAAAATATGTAAGTTTTGAAATGAATCTTATATTACTTTCAAAAAAAAGAGGCAAAAAAGGATGTGAGAAAAGGAAAGAACGAAAGAGAAAGAGAAGGACGAAAGAAAAAGGGAGAACGAACAAAAGGAGGGAAAGTGGAAGGGGAAAGGGAGTTTAAAAAAGAATATCCTTTTTTAAACTTTAAATACGCGTAATTCGTGATGTTTAATTAGTGCAATTATTCAACTAATATCTAATTGTAGATCATGGTCGAATTTTTGATTTTAGTTGAATATAGGCCAAATTTTACTAAGGCCAAATATTCCTTTTTCAACTAGGATTACTAACTCTTTATATTGTAATTTTTTATATTTTTCCAAATATTACTAACTCTTTATATTACTAGTAACTTTTTATATTTTCCAAATATTACTAATTTCTAATTACAGAACACTCTGAGTAGGCAGCATGTTTGATAGTTTTTATTTTGTATAATATGAAATATTTTTAATTCTATTTGTTCTTTAAAAAAATTATGAATGTTTTTAAATAATATTATAAATTATAAATAAAGTAATTTTATATATATTGTAATAAATTTTATTATGGTTAATAAAAATTTATCAATTGCCATCATTCAATTATCAATCGGTCATCAAATGACCATCAAATGACCATTAAATTGACCATAAAATAACCATAAAATAACCATTCAATTGATCATAAAATAACCATAAAATAACCATAAAATAACCATCAATTGACCATCAAATTAACCATAAAATAACCATAAAATAACCATCAATTAACCATCAAATTAACCATAAAATGACCATCGATTGACCACAAAATTAACCATAAAATGACCATTGATTGATCATAAAATTGACATCGATAGACCATAAAATTGACCATAAAATAACCATCGATTGACCATCAAATTGACCAAAATCTGATACCAATCAGTCATCAATCAGGTACCCAATTGATAGTTGATTGGTATCTAAGGTTGCTTATCTAAACCTCTTTAAAATCCTACGATTAGTTTCGTCAAAATTTTACTATAGATTTATTATAGTTTCAGCAGAATTTTGGCAGTTTCGGCATTTATAATAAGTTTCAGCAGTTTCGCCTTTCTCCAAAGTTTTGCCAGTTTTTTAATATAACTTTAATATAGTTTCAGCAGAATTTCACTTTTCGGCAAAACGCCATCTTGTCTAAACCCCTAGGTTTCGGCAAGCAACCTTATTGGTATCAGATTTTGGCAGAAATTGACCATCAATCAGGCAGCCTGATTGGTATCTGATTGAACAGATCAGGTACTAATCAACCATCAACTGGGTACCTGATTGATGACTGATTGATATCTGATTTGACATTTTTTGACCTGTGTATAAAATTAAAACATCTTAGTTCACAATACCCAGACCATCTTGAAAGTATTGAGGCTTTAATTCTTGAGATTAAGGCTCAGAATGTAAATGAAGAATAATCAATTATAAAAGAATATGAAAAGAAACTGGAATTTAAGAAAAATCACAAATTCCAGACTAAATGTATTCAGATAGCTAAGGAAATTCTTAATGAGAAACCTATGATTGAATAATGTCACCCTTCTTTCTTGAATGGATTAGAGAGCTTGATGCCTTCTTCCAAAAATATTGAATTGCATCAGAGATGCAAAGGGCTCAGCATTGGTTTTATAGCACTAGCTGGTATAAAGATGTCAAAAAACTCAAAAATATTGTTAATTATGATTGGCAAAAAAGATGTATTTGCCTAGACAACGGAATTTTCCTTATTGAGGTATATTATGATCAAGATCTGGAAATTGTTATTCCAGAAAGGATACAAAAAGTTAAGGAATTCATTAATCAAGCATCTAAAAGGTTCAATCTCTTGTACAGTTGGATCTTGATATACCAATGCTGCTGGTTTGGGTAAAATATATCATTACATCGAATTATCATTACATAGTGAATCATAATGCAGGCCAAAGTCTAATTCTTGGCGGCATTATGCAAACTCTGAGTTTATTTAAAGATTAAATTATAGCTTCTCATTAACATACATTTCATAAAACAAAAGTTGTTCACATTTTGTGTTGAAACAAGAGCTAAAAAATCTAATTACTTGGATGGAATGATGGAAATCCTCTTATTAATTCAGGCCAAGTTTATAATGCTGACCTGAATTAAATCAGTGTAACCTAAAATATCGGTAATTCGGTATACCTTACTATAGACTACTATAAAGGGACAAGGGGTGAGTATCGGTACATGTTACAATGTTACATCGCGAAATTATATACGATATCGGTACAACGAGGTTTTTTTATTAATTGTGAAATGTGACAACAAAAATTTATTGGTACAGGCAATTATCGGTACATAGAATATCGGTACATCGAGGTCCGACTGTAATCAGTAACATTATAATACATGTAAATTTACATTTAAATTACAGGCTTCACGAATGTATCATGCTAAGTATCTTCACATTTACCATATCAGTGGGGTGTCACATGTATTGACCGGAATTTCACTGCGCCTATATGCCAGTCTATGTTTCCCGGATAAAAGCATAAAATATTTGTTTTCCCGCAATTATTTAATTTTGTCATGATGTCATGTGATAATTGTGACGCAAAATTTAATCAGTTACACAGTTACACTAGTTAATTCTGATTTAAGATAATCTTTTTTTTTTTTCACATCTTTCCTAAAACATCAAAATGTCAATTTATACCGGTTCTGCAAATACCAGTTTTGGTAGTTTTGCGACAAGGACAAGTGCAAGCACTGTGTAAGTAGATATGTGCAACTAGATATGTGCAACTTATTTTTTTCGCTAACTTTCCGGAGATTCTTAGGGACAGTACTGATGCGGTTCCAGAACGAATGCCAAATTGTAACTATTATCGGAATCTGTGGTGGGATAAGGGGGAACTTAGCTCAAAAGCAGAATGGGATAAAGTGACGTAAGTTTTGTTTCTGATACTGGATTGATATTTATAAACTAGTTACTAATTTTTGTCGTTTATTATCAAGGCTCCCATATAAACTTGCTGTTGGAGTTACTTTAAATGAGTATGAACGTCGTGTAGAAGAGTTTAATGTCCACGGTTGTTGGGAGTGGACCAATGGTGATGTTATAATCTACGAGTTGCCGTCGGAACCGCACGAAATCTGCATTGGTGCGATAACTGAAGAATTAATGGATGCCGTTAGACCTGTTAAAGGGACCAATGCCCAGATCTACAGTCTAGGATCAACCAGTAAATATTATTTATTAACTTTTTGGTCTATAACATCATAATAATTTTGACCATTTAAAGGAACTCGTGCTGGTGGTCAGGGAAAGAAGCCGATGAGTCATTTAGACCAAAAAAACCACTCGTAGTTTCTCCACATGGGAGTGATGGACTCGTACGTTTCATCTTGCCATTGGTTTTGGACTTTTCAATCCTGGTTTCATGTAATACATTTTTATTTTCAGGATTGCCCTTGGCCAAATATTGTTGTAGAGGTTGCGTATACAGAGTCCGTAGAACATGTATTGGAAAAAGTAAAAAATTACTGGCTTAAACCTAATCGTGCTCACGATGCTATAGTTGTTAAAATCGACCCTGTCCCCGCAGGTGATAGGCCTATTTGCATGAAGGTAAGTTATTTTTATATAGTATGGCAATCTAGCCATTTATACCACATTCTAAAGATTTTAGCCCATTGCAGGTATGGCACTACTGCGTTTCAGACAGAGTAACAAGAAATTTGTTTCCAGCAAGGGATAAGGTAATAATAAATTACGGTGATTTTTCTTATTGATATATTGAAATTTTATATATTTTTGATTATAGTTTGATTTCGGCCTGCATCCACCATTAACTATGCAACCTGGTGCGTTTCTGATCGATATTCAACTGGACTGTCTATATCATGGTTTAAAATCTAATATACAAATTCCTCGAAATATTCTTCCAAATCCGATTGTTTTGGATTTCTTTTATGTTAAACGAGCAATTGCAGAAATGTTTGAGGATAGGGAATAATGAAGCGTATTACTGTATGTTACTAGTAGCCTAAAAAATCAAGAGAAAATTACTACATGCTGTCATATGATACTGATATGTTAGTTTAGCTGAGCCAGCTTCTTTATAAAATAAAATTTTTCGCTTATTGCATGATGTGTGTGTTTTATTACTAGTTAATAAAGGTTTATATGCCATCGCAAATTCATGCCATAAATTAGATTTCTAATCACAGAGTTTTCTGAAATATTGATTTGTAATGTTATTCATTCTTGTCCAAGGCTCCAACAGCTCAACCTTAGCGGTTGTGGAATTATCTATATAACTATCAGAGAAACTAGATTATGTCCTAATTTTTTACTTAACTGATTAGTAGTCTTAATCTTAGGAATGGCATGGTTGAACTGAAAGAAAACGGTGCAAATTTTGATATAATCATATAAGTAATTTATTACTCACCATAGACGATAATTTTGCGATCCCAATCAAAGAAGCAAAATATGAACCTGTGTAAAATAGTAGTGATCATCAGCTCGTTTTTGCTGAGCCACATCACACCCGTGCTCTAGACATCGGTGCTAACTGACAGTGGGTTTTATCATGTGATATTTATGCGATGATCCCAATTTTTTCATTTTGTTGTAACGCGTCAACGCGTCGCTATCCTATAAATAATTAAAAAGAATTTTACAAAAGTAGTTAAGTATTTTAAGTATTTTTCAACAGTCTATTTATGATCGTTGATGGTATCCTACGACCATATGGTTCAGCCCTTTGGCCGATGTTTGGATTAGAGTGCTGTGGGTAAATCGCTATAACTTGTTACGTGTTCGTAATGGCTCTTAGTGTCTCAGCCCGGGCCTCTATTCCAGTATACCGACAATATATTATCCTACGCCCATATGGTTCAGCCCTTTGGCCGATGCTTGGATTAGAGTGCTGTGGGTAAATCGCTATGACTCGTTACATGCTTGCAATGGTTCTTAGTGCCTCAGCCTTGGCCTCTATTCCAGAATATATATTGTTATTGTAATAGTCCAACAGATTATTCTATTAAAATTATGTCGTTTAATACCATTAACAGTAACCTTCTTTTTAGATATGGAATTTGATTATTATACGGATACCTATGTGTAAGATTCCAATCCTAAGAACTTGGGTGTTCTAGACTGTCTTAATTATCTGAAAGATAAATTGGTATTCACATCAGATAGCAAACAAGAAGTCCAGGATGCGTTTACAAGAACGGTCGAGAGGGTTATGGATTCACCTATTGTACAGGCTGGGATAAAGAAACGGTTAAAAAAAATATCCGATAATATCAGTGATACTTTTGAAGGAAAGGATATTGTCGAATTTTTTGCGGAACTGGACAAGGAGTTTGAGGCAGTAAGTAATTGCGGTTTTGCATGATATGGCCCCATATATATATTTGAAAATATTAAATTTCATTTGTAGAAGCTAAATCAACGAAATCTTGAGAGATCTTTTGATAAGAATAGCTCCGAACTACTAAAGAAGTCTGGTGATTTAAATACATTGAGACTTTCATCTTATTATATAGAAAGGTCTGCTGAAGGTAAGATCAATGCTTTTATTCTGTTCGTTCCAAGTTTGAATGCTAACTTTAAACCTATATTTCTTTGTTATATCACCTAGAGAGAATCAACTTCTGATCAAAGCAATTATATTCCAAGAAAAAGGCAAGAAATTGATTTTAATGAGGAGCGAACAATAAAAGAAGCAATATCAAGTTGGAAATACTACGCCACTTTCACTTGATAAAAATGAACAAGATGCGGATGTTGCTGTCAAACAGGATACGGATAGCATGTATTGCCAGGAGCTGTCATCAGTTGAAGTTCGAATCTCTATCTTTTACATATTTTATTATTGTCTGTTATTTAATAACCCTTTATCTCATAATAGACTTCATTAAATTCGGCTATCAAAAGGCTTGTTAATAGTGAATGTGCTATTGCAAGATATCGGATTTTATTTTTACCAGAAGATAATTTCATAGTCCAATTAAGCGCTTATTTACCAATGAAAAGTGGTCAATAATGGAATCGAACTGGGAAAAGGTATTATTTTTTATTTATTTTTAGTTGATTTTACTTTTATTTTAACGTGAATATTATTTTAGGTTGAAAAAGGGATTGCGGATTCGCTTCCCCAGATTGATGAACACGTAAAATCTCTTTTGAGAAGTATAACGAGTGTATAAAAAATGCTACCATCAAATACTATGTTGACTTAAATAAAGTCGAAGGCATCATTTGTAAAAGCCCGTTTGAAATCAGTTTATATCTGTTCGAAAGAGACTATCATCTTCGATGGATACAATCAGTGTATAATACTTTTTATTATATATCCTTATAGGATCACACTGTATTTTTTTACATTTATTGAATAGCTTTATTGATGATATATATAATAAATGAATACTGTTTAAATCATTACAAATACATAGATTTTTATACAAATAGACTATAAATTAACTCGTGACTGATTTAATAGTGTGATTGTGAGAATCTATATAATAAAACACTTATTGTATAGGTCTTTAGGCAATACTTTACTGTTTTCGATCTCAACCATTTAATCGGTCATATTGTACCACTTTGTGGCACAATCTGAGCCAATCAAATGGCCTCAATCGAAAACAGCATGTTATTGCTAGGGATGTTAACGGTTCGGTCCATCCGGTTTTCGGTCCAAAAACTGGTGGTTTGAGTACAAAACCGAACCGTTATAGGTTTAGAACCAGAGTTTGAACCGAAGTTTGGACCGAAGTTTAGACCGAAGTTTAGACCGGATATTTATAGTATTTTATACAAAATTGTGTAATGCAGATCATGAATTTAAATATATCGTATATCATCAAAAAATTTTTTATTATAAGAAAAAAAATTACCAACAAAATTTCACATAATGTAAAAAAAAAGGAAAAAAAAAAGACATATTGCAAGTATTGATTCAATTTTCCATTCTTTCTTTTTCTGATATCCAATTTTTCATGCATATAATTGCCCT